GTYWRTACTGTTGAGTTAATTYACGTCCAATGATTCTTTATTTATTATTAGAAAAGAATTTCCAAGAYCTTGTCTGAAAAGATCAATGGGTTTTTGGTCATAATGTTGGTGTTACACATAGGGTTTTTAAATGAACCACAGAATGAAGGATATGGTCAACCATAGCGGACGTTGAATAAAAGGACTGTGGTATGGATACACTCAAGTTTGAAGACACGATGTCTAGTTACGTTAGATTGTACAATACCTGCGGACCTGATTTCAACTTTCACCTGTTAGAGCCAGGATATCAGAGAGAAGATTGAACAACGACAACAGATAGAAAACCATTACATAAAGCGATGAAAATATCGAGCGAAAAAAAGCGCCTTAAAGTAACAAAAATACCCCAAAATTACAAATTAATACTTGTGACAAAAGAATTACATCGATCGCAAGGAAAGAAGCGTTCACTTCAAGTTAATGTCAGTGATTAAAACCAAGAAATCTTTCTAATCTCATGAACAATTCAATTTCTTTTTTGTTGGTATTTTTAAAAAGTGTTTATAAAGATTTAACTGTTTCAAGGAATAAAAAACAACAACAAATTGTAGGAGATGTTCATCAGAGCAGCAAAATAACAATCTTATTTATGATTAATGAAACTTGTCATGGTCGCGTAAGACGAAAATAGATTTGGAAATGACTAAAGTTGATTTGTTTTGCGAATCTAATGCATTTTCCTTGTTTTTAAAAAAACGGTTATTGTCTGAGCTGTTTTTCTAGCTAGTGGGACAGTGTCTGTTAAAATCCGCCCTGGTGGTTRGTGTGAAGAAAAATAATCATCGCTTTGTAAAGGTTTTAAAACGTCTTTAACATTCATCGGTAGGAAACGGAAAGCCTCGGGCGAATGAAATTTGTAACATAGCATCATACAAGTACTCAAATACAGCACACAATACAAAATACTACAATTAACAAACATTAAACTAAAAAAAACATTTAAATGCACACAAAAAAGCCATTCTAAAGCTAAAAGCTACACCACAACACGTACAAGAAAGAGGTAATATTTATTCAGCAATGTAAGAGAACTGATTTGTGGGTGAAAAGCCATCACAGTGCAACAGAACAATTCCAAAAGGTCTCGACACAAAAAAATCAATGRAAAGAGAGAAAAATGCTATTTCGTTCAAAAATATAAATTTTCGATTTTTAAATAAATAATGCAAGCAAAAACTTATATTTTACAGGTCCACGGGGGGCAATGAACTGAAATAACTAATCGAGAGAGAAAATTCAAGCCATTTCAGGGTTAATGAACAAAAAGCCATTCCAATGCAATTGACCTGGAATTAAMTACTAAAAGCCGATCCAGACASAAAAGCGATCAAAATGCGAAGGAGCAACGAAAATTGATCAATTGTTGTCGCATTATCAATAATTCCAGTTATTAACTTGATCTATTTTTTAAAAAGGTGATCGCCTTTACAGAACCAGTCAGGGTTTTGCTAATCCACCGCAATGACTTACCAAAAACCATTCTAGTACATTCTAATGCTTACCGGAAAAGGCACTAAAATGCAGTGATTTTACAAAGGAAAGTTAMGAATCATGAAACATACATGTTTCAATAGCTATACCGTACAATAAAACTTTACACATTACTTATTATAAAGGCTTTAATATCAAATACATGGTTTTTTTTATTCGTTTTCTTTTTTTAATTCAATGTCTCTGGTTCGGTCAACATKACTAGGTTTTCGACTAAGCTTTCGATTAAGCATACTGAATCTCTTTCAACCCCAAAACCGCACTGCCCACGGCCAGCCACAAGAGTAATAAGTATCCTTGCAAACCAAATAAAGATTAATATGATTTTTAAACTACTGAACTAGTGTTATAAAGTTTTTGTCGCGAAGCTTTTAGTAGCCTAAACCATTCCAGATAGAAATTTGTACGGAAAATGAAAGGGACTTCTCACCAGCGTGCACAGCATAAACAAAGAACTGAAAAGATCTCGTTAGAGCTCCGAGAAACGACTACACTGMCAATGTGACTTGAAAAACATCAACCTTACAGGCTCTTTAGAGATACTAGTATTACAATTATAATACTAACAACCACCGCGATGTATTAATAAAGGAGAACCGAAAATCCAATATCAGTTTTGGCTACAGTGTAGCCTTTATTAATAAAAACGCGACAAAAAAGTGTGAGACCAATTTGCTRGTATATAATAGAATACCTGTTGTATATAATGAGCTAAATTGGAAGAGAATTAAAACTTTGTGAAAAGAGGGTAGAGAGACGTTTTCWTTCATTCATTCATTCTTTCTTTTTTTTAATTAGAGATAAGTCATTTGAACGCAAATCAGCTTCTTGTCCATTTAAAACAGAAAACTAGTATTGAGAACGAATTCGTTTTTGATGGGTTATTAATTGAGACGAGTAGTAGGGGAATATTGCTTCATCGGTCAGCACCAAAAATCGTTTGAAAATCCATCTAATATATATGCTCCTTAACTGCAAGTAAGCCACTACTTATCGAGTGTTRAGACTAACACAAAAACGTTGACTAAAACAGTGTACACTTG